GATTGAGTATATGTTGTTTTTGAAAGGGTAAAGAGGACCTCCAATTTCTGGCTATTATAATTTTCATAGCTATGAAACAATGAACAGCAATACAGATATCATTTCGTGATTTTAAATTCCAGTTTACATGTAATAATGCAACTGTAGGTGAGAATATTAGTTTTATACCTGTCAGATCATAATAGAGTTTAAAGACCCAAGACTAGTGATGTCCCGAACGGTTCGCTGGCGAATAGTTCCCGGCGAACATAGCGTGTTCGCGTTCGCCACGGATGGCGAACATATGCAATGTTCGGTCCGCCCCCTATTAATTTACTAATACTAAGTAAAAATTACTTAGTATTAGTAAATTGTGCCCCTACTCGCAATACCGCGAGTAGGGGCATGTCTATTAAACAGTGAGCAGCCTGTGGCTGCTCACTGTTTTAAAAAAAAAAGGGTCCTAAATACTAATAGGGGGGGACCTATTGTCCTCCCCCCGGCCCCCACCCCTGAGCGGTGGGTGGGGGCCCTAAAAATACCAATAAGGGGGGACCTATTGTCCCCCCCCGGCCCCCACCCCTGAGCGGTGGGTGGGGGCCCTAAAATGAACAATAAGGGGGGACCTATTGTCCCCCCCCTCCCCCACCCATGCGCGGCGGGTGGGGGCCATATTGATAATGAGGGGGGGACCTACTGCCCCCATCCGGCCCCCAGCCCTGTGCGGCGGGTGGGGGCCATATTGATAATGAGGGGGGCCCCCCCTCATTATCAATATGGCCCCCACCAGCCGCGCAGGGGTGGGGGCCGGGGGGGCAGTAGGTCCCCCCCTCATTATCAATATGGCCCCCACCCGCCGTGCAGGGGTGGGGGCGGGAGGGGGACAATAGGTCCCCCCCTTATTTTTCATTTTAGGGCCACCACCCACCGCTCAGTGCCTTATTTTTCATTTTAGGGCCCGCACCCACCGCTCAGGGGTGGGGGCCGGGGGGACACAATAGGTCCCCCCCTTATTGTTATTAGGGCCGCGGGGGGGGACAATAGGTCCCCCCCTTATTGTTATTAGGGCCCCCACCCACCGCTCAGGGGTGGGGGCCCGGGGGAGACAGTAGGTCCCCCCCTCATTATCTTTATGGCCCCCACCCGCCGCTCAGGGGTGGGGTCCGGGGGGGGAGGAGAGTAGGTCTCCTCCCCCCCCTTCAACCAGTAAGAGTCCCTGTGGGTTTTAAAATTCGCCTGCCCATTGAAGTCTATGGTGGTTCGCCCGGATCGCGAACATTTGCGGAAGTTCGCGTTCGCCGTTCGCGAACCGAAAATTTCATGTTCGCGACATCACTACCCAAGACCAAATTTCATTAACACATGGGCAGAACCACCTCATGTGAATATATGAACCCAAACTACTACCACATCTCCAACACGTAGGGTCGCAATTCTGATACATTTTGGCTAATTTATTTGGTGTTAAATACCATTTGTTTATAACTTTAAAATGACACTCTGTCAAATTCAAGCAATGTATATTTTTAGAAGTATGTGACAAAGAGAAACACCATTCTTCTAGTGTTATTGTTAATTCAAGTTATTGCTCCCAGTAATTTATTATTTTCGTTGGGTTATCATTAAGTAAGTCTAGAATGAGATTTGCTTCAGAAATTACTTTATTAACATAAATATTGCCAGTAGAAGGGATCTATATAAGTCATCAAACTAGAATTTGACAGGTGCCCCTTTCCCCATAAAGCCACGCCCTCAACAGCTGTGTTGCCACGCCCAATGATGGAGCGGCCAGCCCCGCCCCTTTACCATGAAGCCACACCCACAACATATGTGTCGTCACGCCCAATGCTGGAGCGACCACGGCGCATGCGCGAACCTTTGAACCACGACCCCTGATGCGCCACCACACCCACAGCGTGCACACCCCCTGCGTATGAGCGCCCCCCTCTGAACCAAGAAACGCAGTGCATGCGCATTGTAAACTAAGCCCTATGCATATTTGCAGACAAGTAGGACATGTTTGGGCATGTTTTAGGGGATAGGAGCGCTTTAAAAAAAATAAATAAAAAAAATAAATAAAATGTAAACCAAGCCCTATGCATATTTACAGACAAGTAGGACATGTTTGGGCATGTTTTAGGGGCTAGGAGCGCTTTAAAACAAAAAAAAAGGAAGTGTAAACCAAGCCCTATGCGTATTTAAGATAACTAGAACATGTTTTGGCCCCCACACCCCTATTTTGACCATATTTTACATAATAGAGGAAACATTTTTTATAGATAATAAGAAGGCAAAAAAAAAAAAAATGACCAGGACAATAAGCGATATGTTTTAAAACAAAATGTATTTATTAGGCAGTAATATATACTATAAAAAAAAAGAACAACGCATGAATAAAAAACATAATACGTTTCAATCCATTAAAGTACAGAAAACAGGGGTGATTATATAGCTATGTATATAGCCAATTAAAACTTTAGCCACGCAGGGGTATGCCTTGTATATGAACGCTTTCTAGGTAGTAAATAGCCATGGGGTGTAGTTAGCCCTGATGCTGTTAATGGCATATGTGTTAGGGAACCCCAATTTTGTAGCGGTGACTGTGGTGTTACAGATGGAATTATAGTCGCATGGTTATGAATTTTTAAATGATCCAGATAGTCTCTATTCGAAGAGTTACCTACAACTGTAGAAGGGATGTTGAGGTCAGCCATGGCCTGAAAAAAACTGTCCCAGCCCTGAGGTCTCTTGCGTACTGTAACACTATGACTTTGCGTAACACTCCGAACCAGATCCAGGATATTAGAGCCAGGTACAACATTATTTTTATAAACAAACTCTCCCTTATCATTCCAATTTGCAATGTGTTTGGCATGCGTCATTCTAGTAAGCAACAGTTCAGTGTTCTTTTTATAGCGGTCATGAACATTATGGAGTACATCACTAATGACATTATCCGAAACATGAGCTGGATCAGTAATTGGTGGCTGATGAGTGTCCATAGGTGTGGAATCTCCCAGTGGTAATAAAAGTGTTAAGTTCAGCTTTTCCCTGTCACTCTGCTTTGCATGTAGTAAATATTTTTGCAATATTGTGGTGTACCTTGATATCTTCTCAGCTGTTGGCATATTTCTACTTTGAAGTAGAGACATAATGTCCGCATCAAGCCTTTGTGTTACAGACTCATGAGCAGTGGCAGATTGCTGAGTGTTCTTTTGTATTAGATCCAACTCTTGTTTTGGACCCAAATACATTTTTTCAGCATATTCCATTATCGGTTAGAGAGAAGACCGGTAAGAAGCGGTATAGCAAAACCCAGCAGAGAACCAATAAATCCACCAGACTGTTTAACCATCCGTTTCTTCTTAACAATAGTTAGTTTCTTATCACACAATGATTTTATATTTTTTCGCCACTTTCTAAGTTTTTAAATTTGATGAGGTGATAAA